CGTGCAATTTTACTAAGAACCTTGTATCTAGAAGAATTGCCCTTCCACCAATCTAAGATATCAAAATTCTCCTCACGCTTTACACGAGGCTCCAATAAATAAATATCCACCTTTGTATCCAAACTTTGAATATCATCATCCATATCATCAATACAACGAAAAGCATCTGAAGCAGACAAACATGACGAACTACTCCTTGAAGCAAACAAAGAAGATGAACTACTCCTTGTAGCAGACAAGCTATATCCATTAAATAATCCTCTCAAAACATCTCCCACCTTCCTCATTATGACACTTGCCACATCACCCCCTAATAATTGATTCAAACAGTAAACCAAAGATTTCATCTTATAACGAGGGTCTAAAACAAAAGCAACATACAATAAGTTATTCGATTTTTCACTACTCCCCCAATACTTATCATATTTGCTTTGCATTTTTGCCGTCATTTCACGAAGAAGTGCATTGTCATTTCCACTCTCACGTGAATACTGTCTTATACAATTTTGAATAACACTAATCTTATGGAAGACGGTATTGGAAGTAACATAAAGAGACCCTGAAAGCCTACACGTCACTTCATAAAATACAGATAAGAATTTGATAAATATCCGAGCAACTTCCCAATCTTTTTTAACCGTTTTATCCTCACTCATGTATGTTGTGTCATAGTCTTCTAACCTCTCAAATGGCTTTTCAATCTTTTCAGCTGCATCAAGCATCAAATATGTAGAGTTCCATCGAGTTGGAACATTGAGACATAACAAACTTTTACTAGTTATGTTCTCCTCTTCAATACACTTCCTAAATTTACTAAGTCGAGCAGAAGAAGATCTAACAAACCTAACAACATTTCGAATTTTAGCAACCGACTCATGCACATCTTTTATTCCATCACATACAATCAAATTAAAGATATGTGCACAACACCTAACATGTAAGAAGTCACCCTTCAACACCAATCATGATTAAAACGCTTAACTAGATAGGCAATGGCAGTATCATTTGATGAAGCGTTATCAACTGTCAATGTCAAAACCTTTTCAATCCCCCGTTGCTTCAAACATTTCTCAACTTCCCTTCCTATAGTCTCTCCTTTATGATTCTCAATCAGAGAAAAATTAATAATTCTTTTATGCAACTTCCAATTATTATCAATGAAGTGTGCAGTCGGAACCATATAATTAATATTTTGAATTGATGTCCAAGTATCGGTCGTAAGTGAGACCCTATACCCTTGTTCCACAAAAGTGTCCTTCAAACTTTGTTTCATACTAGCATATCACTAGTAGAAAAGTGGTCTTCCATGACAGTTGTGAACAGTAAAAATGTTTGGAGGAAAAAAAAAACTATCATAAATGATAGGGGTGCGTTTTTGGCGGGAAAAAACACTAATTTTCAGATTTTGTAAGTTTTATGACAGTTAAAAACTGTCACGAAAATCGAATTTTCAATGACAGTGAAAACCTGTCATGAAATGGTGGAGGCACGATTTTGGCGGGAAAAAGCAGCAATTTATGAAAATTTTCATGCTTTATGACATTTTGTAATTGTCAAGAAAAATAAAAAATTTTCAAGTATTCCATGACAATTACCTAGACCATCTTGAGAATGTATGACATACAAAAAGTGTCACAAGTGTTTTGAGCGCGTTTCATTTCAGTCGGAAAAACTGCAGCTTTATTAACGATATTAATTATTTCGGATTGTCCGGTTGCATCGAGTATAGATTTATGCTTAATAGTTTCCCCAAATACTCCATGAAACAAGTAGAAAATGGTATTTGGTATAGTGGTATGCTTATCGTGCGTAATTGTACCATTTCTCTCTTCGGTCCCGAGTGCTTAATGATTATGCTAAACGTAGTTTTTATGTTAATGATTTTTTCATTCTTATGGAATGAGTAATATTCAGTGTAACGCCCCGGCGTTTAGAGTAGTGCGACCCTCGAACTTTCGTGGACGAAAGATTTTTTAAGGTAGGTAGTCTGTAACGCCCCGCGTTCTCTGGCTAATTTATTTTAAGCTTTAGATTTGTGCTTTTGGATTTCTCCCTTTTCGTTAAGTGAAATTCTTGGATCTTCTTATTTTGGAGTTTCAATTTTGGGAAAATTATAATCAAGTTTATTTTCGTTGGATTAAGATAGATTAAGTTTCGAATTTTGAGAAGAGATTTTTAATTAAATCTTATTTTAAGAATTTAGAAATTTAATTTCCCTTTTGGATTTTGTTATTGGGGTTCAAGCTTAAGTTAATCTCTTAATTTATTTTCCCAAATCCTTTTTTAAGTCGGTTTTATTTTGAAGAAAAGGATTAAGAAAAATCTCTACTCTTCTGAAAGGGCTTAGTCTATTCTTATTATCTGTTTCGATTTATTTGGACCCAATCATTTTTTATAAAAGAAAAGAAAATTTAAGGAAAAAAAAAGAACACAAAAGAAAAAGAAAAGTTGCTCTGCTACCTTTTTGAAGTCGGGTTTTCATTCATCTCAATAGAAGCTCAGCTTTTCATAATAAAAAAACTACCCCTTTACCATGTGTAACTGTTGAAAGCGAGGAAAGTTGCTTTGCTACCTTCATAATACCGTGAATTTCTTGAAGTATTGTACACATTGCACCCAACTGCAGAATTGGCTCATGATCCTTTGTTCTGTATTTTATGTAGGTATGATTATTCTGGCTATGGACAATCAATTGGAAAGGTACGGTGTTGTTTCTCCATTCGTTCCAGTTTGTAAATTTATTTTAGTATTGTCTACTAAATATCTATTTATTTTGGATGTTTCTTTCTAAGGAAGTAACAAGTAATGAGTTAATGTCATGATGTAGTTGTGCTTTGATATTTATAATTTTATAGATTCATTTTCCATGTTTTGGTGCTCACTTATTTTAAGACTATTAGCTAATCCTACTTCTCATCCCTTTTAAATGCTTAATGAGACTGTTGGTTTGTTCCTCTAGTGAAGTGGATATAAAAATTTGTTTATGTTTCGACTTATAATAATAAATAGTTAATATTTTGTGTGTTCACTGTTAAATATAATTTTTTGATTAGATTGTTTTCTTTCAACTCTAATACATTCTAAAGTCTGGACTAATAGGTTTGAGTATGTAACTGAGCGTATAGCTGTTTTGCACATGAACTTCATGAAAATGAGTTCATTCCCTTTGCGCTTATTTCAATTGTATATTCACATTATTATCTCGTATAACATATATTTGTACAGGACGTTGCCAGTAGAATTTAGCCATTCACTTGAATTTCCCTATCTTATTTTAGTTTGGGTTGTCATGGTTTTTGTCGTGAGTTTTACTTTTATCACTGAAGTGTATTTTTGGGCTTTCGTTTTAGACCGTTAGTTTTTAGTCGGGGTCCTTCTTTTAAAATTGAGAATTGAGCTTTTTAGTTTTCAAACAAATTAAGAGGGCCTTCTTTTAAATTT